GAGGAGGGGATGGGGGAGGGGGAGGTGGGGAGATCCGGCTAGAGGGGAGGCTCCGACGTCTCCTTCCTTCCTGGTTCCTGCAGCAGCTGCTGCCACCGCTCAGCTTCGTGAGGAGGGAGTCGGTGACTCGGAGGCGGTGACTCAGAGGCAGCGCGGCGCGAGGGCCAAGGAGCACTGGTGTCCATGGACTCTGGGGTAAGGGGGCCGCGTGGCATCAGCTGACATTCCCCGAGAAGAGCTTCCTCCCACCTGAAGCTGATGGGGCTGCTCCACCGTAGACGGGGATGGAAACGGAGGTGGAGGGAGGCACCCACCTGGCTTACCTCGACCCCCCACCTTCTTACTAGAGCCTCCCCCTCCACCCACAAGCAGTGAGGGGCCAGGATCCCACAGGGCCGGGCGAAGGGCACAGAGATACCCGAACCCCGGAAGAGTTTGGGAACTTTCAATGGCTGAATGCAAGAGTTTCCTCCCAGGTCAGCCTCTCGTAGCCTGGACCCCTCTGCCCCGATCTCCTGGCCACCCTCACCCTGCCACGTCCCTGTCCCCTCTGAACCTCGGCTCCGCAGGTGCTTGCTAGCTCCCTAGGAAGATCCGTGCTGCTTCCCCAGCCCAGGCCAGCCTTGCCCCTCCAGTCCCCTCCTCCGGTTCACACACACACAGCTTCGTGCATTATTGATCTTCTGGTGGAGCCAGGGTGGCCAGGGCCGGTGCCAAGGGCGCCTGTGGGCACCGCTGCAGGACCTGAGCGGGCCTTGGCATGTGCATGGCCCCTGCTTCTCCTGCCCACAGTGTCTCCACCAACCCAGTGTCCTGCTCTCTCTGGGTGGGTGGCACTTCCTAGGAGCCCCAAGGACTGGGATGGTAGAAAGGGTATGGTGAAGCCTTGGGAGGGGGCTGTGAGCCAAAGGTGGGAATCCTAGAGGAATGTTGGATAGGAGGAGGCCCAGGGAGAAATGGTGGCTCTCTTAGGCCTCAGTTTTCCTATGCAGAAAATGGGAGCCCAGGAACTAGAGGATATGAATGAAGACTGATTGGTGGGGGCTGGGGGGTGCTCTGCAAGGGTGTCGTGGTAGAGGCGTGTTCAAACCATGGGGGTGGGGGGTCTTGAAGGAAGAAGTGGCTTGTCCAGTCTCTGGATCCCTCTGTCTTTTCTTGGAGCCTCTTCACTCCCCTGCCTCACCTCTGAGCACTCCCAGGGCATCCTCCAAAGAAAGTTCCAGTGTGGCCCAGAGCCCTAGCGTGTATTCCCAAGGCGGGGCTGGGCATGCTTCTTACGGTTTCCTCTCAGCACCAGCCTGTCTGCCGAGCACTAGCTTACCTCTCTGAGCAATGACCGCAATGGAGGGTGTAGGCGGAGACACTTATTCAGGGTGGGGTTGGGACAGAGAGAGGCATGGCAGATGAACAGAGGGTATTGGTGAGCCCTTATCTCAGAGGGTTGGCACCACCAATCTGGTGTCCTGCTCTCGGGGTGGTGGCCCTTCTCAGGGACTATGTGCTAAGGATGTCTCTCTCTTGCCTCAAGGGCCCCCTCAGGACCCGGTGACATCCCTCCCCTTCCACCCTGCTCTACGTCCTCAGCAGGGTGTGGCACTCCCTTCTTCATGGACTTCCAAGAGAGGGACCCTCCCTCCCTGGCCGAGAGCACTCAGTCCTCGAAACCCAGCAGTGTCCAGCAGGTCTGAGGGGGGGGAAGCAGGCAATGGGTGGGCCTAGCTTGGACCAGAGGGGCAGGGGCAGATGTGGTAGTCTCACCCACGCTCCCCTTCCTCTGTCCTGGACTGCAGGCCTTGGAGCTGTGGGAGGTGGTGGAGGAGCCTCAGGGCAGGCTGGGGGCAGAGGGCATTATGCCCGAGAGGCAGGAAGGCCACCTGCTCAAGAAGAGGAAGTGGCCTCTGAAGGGCTGGCACAAGGTAGGGTGGGCAGGGCAGGGGGAGGGGCCTCACATGGGGCCTGATGGGAGTGGCCGGGGAGGCTGCCGGGCAGTGTAGGGTGTTTGTGGGTGGAGAAGAAGTCTACATGTGTGGCTGCCATCTTCCTCACATCCTCTCCTCTTGGCCTCCCCGGTCCTGTTCCTCCTGGACGATATCACAGCGATATTTTGTGCTCGAGGATGGGATCCTTCACTATGCAACAACCCGGCAAGATGTGAGTCAGGGCTGTGGCTCGGGGTCATGGAAGTAGTCTGGCTCCCGAATTCCCTGGGCAGGCAGGGGTATCTGGAGTCAACCAGAGCGGGGTCTGAATCCCAAGATCCACCATTTGTGGGTGTGCCATCTTAGGCAAGTTACTTCCCAGGGCTGGAGCGTCCTCATAGTTAACATGGGGCAGGCACGATCCCCCACGTGAAGGGTTGTCATCTCTGTAAGAACACAAAATAAATGCCCAAGAAATGGGAGCAGGCCAGGTGCGGTGGCTCATGCCTGTAATCCCAGCACTTTGGGAGGCAAAGGTGAGAGGATTGCCTGAGCCTGGGGGTTCAAGACCAGCCTGGGTAACTTGGTGAGACCTCATCTCTACAATAAATCAAAAAATTAGCCAGGCGTGGTGGCATATACTTATAGTTCTAGCTACTTGGAGGGCTCAGGTAGAAGGATCACTGGAGCCCAGCAGGTCGAGGCTACAGTGGCCGTGAGCGTGCCACTGCACTCCAGCCTGGGCGACAGAGTGAGACTCAACTCAGAAAAAAAGGAAAAATAAATAGGAGTGTATTATCCTCATCCATGTCCCATTCTCATTCTCATGTTGGGGACAAGGAACTGAAGGCCTGGACACCAGGTCCTCTTCAGGAAAATATGTCCTTCCATAGCCTTGCAGATTCCTGGGGTGGGAGTACTTTTCCTTGCTCTGTGACGCCCTGGAGTGCAAAATGTGACTTGACATAGTGAAGCATTCTGTACATGGGAGGGTGATTGACGAGTCCCAACTGATAGTGTGACTTGAATATGAGAGTGAACCTGCTGCCTGGCCCTTGAGTCTGGTGTGGCCTCAGGGAGATGGTGGCTCTGTGGCCCTGGGATCCTAAAAGCAGTTCCCTGCCCGCTCCTCCTCCCTGCCCCTCCACCCCAGATCGCCAAGGGGAAACTCCATGGCTCCATTGATGTTCGGCTGTCGGTCATGTCCATCAATAAGAAGGCCCAGCGCATTGACCTTGACACTGAAGACAACATCTACCACCTCAAGGTGATGTCCCTAGGAGGTTGGAGTGTTTTGGTTTCCAGGCTGGCAGAGGCTCTGGGGCATACAGGGGCAGGAACTGAGGGTCTGTGGAGCTTGGGGTTTTTCTGGGAGTTTGGTAGGGAGGACGTTCCCATCCTGTAAAACAGCCAAGAGCAAACCCACCCCTGGTGGGTGCTACATGAACAGGCACCGAGTCAAGGACTCAGATACTTGGGGACCCTGTACTCTGCCTCCCTGTAAGTGGGCTTTGCACAAAAGGGGTGCCTAGGGAGAGACCTTGCCTGCCTGGGGACCAGAGCCCAACTTCTCGCTTCCGGAAAGTGGTCCCTCCCTTCACACAGCCCCTGCCTCTCCACCATTGCAGATCAAATCCCAGGACCTGTTCCAGAGCTGGGTGGCCCAGCTGCGTGCCCACCGCCTGGCTCAGCGCCTAGATTTGCCCCGTGGCCTGCAGCCCAGTACCACTCACTGGAAGGTGAGATGGGCCCTGGGGTGGGGCAGATGACACGGTGATTCAGGGGTGGTGGCTGTGGGTAACTGTGGGACCCAGGGAGGTGGGCGCCATTCACCCTTGGCTCACCCTACAGGTTCCTGGTGCCCAGCTTCCAGCAGTGGCTAATGCTTCCACCCTACCTGGGGTTGGACCTCGGGAGAAGGTGTCTTCTTGGCTGAGGGACAGTGACGGGCTAGACCGCTGCTCTCATGGTGAGGGGCCCCTGGCACAGTGCCACAGCGTGGTGGGACCCACACTGTTGGGTCTAGGTGGCATTAGCAGGAGGGGAAAATATTCCCTCCATCTCTGCCTCAGGTATAGGGGAGACAGCCTCTGCCTCCAAGATGATTAAATCGCTGGGCACAGTGGCTCATGCCTTAATCCAGTACTTTGGGAGGCATAGGCAAGAGGGTTGCTTTAGCACAGGGGTTCAAGACCAGCCTGGGCAATTTGGTAAATCCTCGTCTCTACAATAAATAACAACAACAAAATTAGCTGGGCGTGGTAGTACATGCCTGTAATTCCAGCTACTTGGAAGACTGAGGCAGAAGGATTGCCTGAGCCCAGCAGGTCAACCTAGGTGACAGAGTGAGACTCCAACTCAAAAAAAAAAAGAATCTACTTGGGCCCTCTCCTGGGGAACCCAAATCTTATAGAGGATGGCGGAGCACATAGACAAACATGGACACAGGGCCAGAGTCATGACGAAGAAGATACTGTATGCCAGTGCAGGGGAGGTCCTGAGGAGCAGTGCCAGGAAGGTGCAGTCAAGACTGTGATGTTGGCCCAGAGAGGGAAGTGCAGACCACGTGGAGAGAGATGGTGGGACTTGGGCAGAGGCAGCAGAAGTGAGGCATGGTCTGGAGACAGAGTGGAAATTGGGCTGCAGGCCCTCCTGGGAAACCAGGCGGAGGCCACACAGAGGGAGGCGGGGACTGAGCTGCTTTGGGCTCTTGTGCTGGGGAGGGGCATGGTGTCGGGAGCTTTAGCAGCTGGTGATGTCTTATTCCTTCTCTCCTAGAGCTCTCTGAGTGTCAGGGGAAGCTCCAGGAACTACACAGACTCCTCCAGAGCCTGGAGTCCCTGCACCGAATCCCTTCCGCCCCTGTCATCCCCACACACCAGGTAAGGTCCAGGGATTCTGCCCAGGGCTCTTGATCCCATCACTTCCCCGGGCTGAGTCCTCATTCCTCTTTTTCTTTTTTTTGAGTTGGAGTCTCACTCTTTTGCCCAGGCTGGTGTGCAGTAGCACACTCATGGCCACTGCAGCCTCCATCTGCTGGGCAATCCTTCTGCCTCAGCCTTCCAGGTTGCTGGAACCACAGGCGTGTGCCATCATGCCCAGCTAATTTTTCTTGATTTATTGTAGAGATGAGGTCTCACCAGTTGGCCCAGGCTGGTCTTAAAACCTGCAGGCTTAGGCAATCCTCTCACTTTTGCCTCCCAAAGTGCTGGGATTATAGGTGTGAACCACCGCGCCTAGCCTCCCATCCCTCTATGTTACTGAAGTTTCCTGGAGAGCCGTGAAACTGCCTGGTTGCCTCCTTCCTGCCCCCCACCCCACTCCACGTCCAGTCCAAACTGTGTCAAGACCGTCTCTACTCCTTCTTCGATGACCATGCCTCTGCCAGGGTGTCCATCTTCTTCCTTGGGGATGTCGATTGTCCCTGTCACTTTGCCTGGGCTGCTACACCCTCTGTGCCTGGGTGATCTGTGCCTTCCTCCATGGTCATCTACCTTTCCTGGCCTTTGGTGGCAGCTGCCCCTTTTCCCCATCCTGTGAGTGACTTTGTCTCTACCTTGATTTGCCAGGCCTCAGTGACAACTGAAAGACCCAAGAAGGGGAAACGGACCAGCCGCATGTGGTGCACACAGAGCTTTGCCAAGGATGACTCCATTGGTCGGGTGAGGTGGGGTGCGGACCCCAAGTTGCTGGGGCAGGATGCTCTTAAGGGGGCTGTCCCCTTCAGTCCTTCCCCTTCACCTGCAGGTTGGTCGTCTCCATGGCTCTGTTCCCAACCTGTCACGATACCTGGAGTCTCGGGACTCCTCAAGCCCCCGTGGGCTGCCAGCCCCAGACTACGCCCACCTGCAGCGCAGTTTCTGGGCTCTGGCCCAGAAGGGTGAGTGCATGTTGGAGGTTGGTGGGGAGTGGATGGAAGGGCGAGGAGTCTGATGGTATGTCCCGTCCCGACAGTGCACAGCTCCCTCAGCAGCGTCCTGGCTGCCCTCACCACTGAACGAGACCGACTAAGGGACCTGCACCAGGGTTCAGAGCTGTCAAGGATAGGGGTGAGGCTTGGGGGACAGACAGCTGGTGGGAGGAGGGGTTTGGGGAACAGGGTAGCTGGTGGGAGGAGGGGGCTTGGGGGACACTGTGGCTGGTGGGAGGAGGGGGCTTGGGAAACAGGGCAGTGGTGGGAGGAGGGGAATTGGGGAACAGGGCGGCCAGTGAGAGGAGGGGGCTTGGGGAACAGGGCAGCTGATGGGAGCAGGAGGGGACTTGGGAGACAGGGCGGCCGGTGGGAGGAAGGGGTTTGGGGGACAGAGTAGCTGGTGGAAGGAGGGGGCTTGAGGTCAGGTGGCCATTGGGAAGAGGAGGCTTGGGGGACAGGGCAGCCGGTGGGAGGAAGGGCTTGAGGCTGAGAACTGCAGGCCTTGGGTTTGACAGCGGACGTAGCCTGGGATGGGCTTGGCGAAGCAGTCTCTGCAGAGCCAGATATGGCAGGTTGGGGAGGATCTTCCCCTCCCGGCACCGTCTCCTCACCCTCTCCCTGCAGGTCCCTGAGGCCTCCGCTGGCCAGAGGCGCCTTCATTCTCTGTCCACATCCTCAGACACCACCGCCGACTCCTTCAGTTCCCTCAACCCCGAGGAGGTGTGGAGCCAGGGCGGGCTGAGAGGCCCATTCACCTATGTCTTCCTTTCCAGCAGGGAAGACCCAGGGAGGTGGGCCGGGTTGGTTTTAGTCCTAGAGACCAGGAATACTGGCTCCAATGCCTTCCACATAACCCTGGCAGGAGCTGCATCAGGATCTTAATTACTTTTAATTCAGAGTCCCAGGAGGCAGTGATTCTTACCCTCAAGACAACAGAACTGAGACTCAAATACCCTAATCAATGGGCCCAGGCTGCCACAGTCACAGGCTGAACTGGGACTCAGGGGTTCTGAGCACAGATCCTGGGGCTGTGTTCTGTGGTTTCAAACCTGGCTCCCTTGCCTGCTGGCTGTTTAACCCTGACCCTCAGTGTCCTGATCTGCAAAGTGGGAGTGATAATTGCACCTAGCTCACAGAGTGGGTGTTAGAGTTGAGGGAGTTAATACACACAGTGGGCTTGGGGCAGGGCTCAGAGTCAGTACCCAGAAAGTGTGAGCAATGATGGCACCCGTGTCCCCTACTCCCAGGCCAGGGTTCTTTCCCCTGCACCTTCATACCCACTCCCTCCCCTCTGCCTCTTCTGCTCAGCAGGTGTCAGACCCAGACAGTAGAAGTCCCCAGTCATGCTAGAGGGAACTGTCAGATGAGGGAGAGTTCTCCCCGCCCCCCTCCCCCGACTGGTTGCCCCAGGGCCTGATACCTTTCTGGCTGCTCCCACAGCAAGAAGCTCTGTACATGAAGGGGCGAGAGCTGACCCCCCAGCTGTCCCAGAGCAGCATCCTGTCCCTGGCCGATTCCCATACAGAGTTCTTTGATGCCTGCGAGGTTCTCCTCTCCGCCAGCTCTTCTGAAAACGAGGTGAGGGAGGAGGGAATTTGGCAATGAAGGTGGGTCGGGATGGGACCTTGGGAACATAGGGTGGGGTTCAGAAACTGAAAGCTGTAGGTTCCTCTGTCCTTTCTACCACCTTAGCTGCTACCTCTGGGAACATGTCCAAAACTGTCGGGTTTGTGTGGCCCTACTCAGAAGCCTCTGCTGTGGACTCTCCTCCCAGTTTAATGTGTTTTATCTCCATTGGGTTCTCTTGAAGCTGCTGCCTCAGTTGCAGCCCTAATCATCTTCCTGTGTCCCTGTTTCAGTGCCAGCAGACCCCTGACCCCTCTACCCAGACTCTGGATCTCAGTCATCCCTAACTTCCCTTCCCTCTGTGTCCTGCCGAGTCCCTGAGCTCTCTCCCCCCAATTTGTAGGGCCCAGCCCTTCCCCTCCCAAGGTGGCTGGGGACACTTGGTGATGCCAGGCCACCCAGGGAAGTGTCTTAGGGCTCAGCACCCCCAATACATTCTCTTCCCCTTCCCACCAAAGGGCTAGCTGGGCAGAGTCTTGCTAGGTCCTGGGCACTGCCCAGCTGCCCAGGGGAGGCCCAGTCTGCCCGGCCTATCATCTGTCCCGGCCCAGGGCTCCGAGGAGGAGGAGTCATGCACCAGTGAAATCACCACCAGCCTGTCTGAGGAGGTGCTGGACTTCAGGGGAGCTGAGCGCTGTCAGAAAGGTGCCAGTGGGCGTGTGGGCAGAGAGGGGCTGGAGGGGATGGAAAAGCAGGGTTGTTCATGGCCCAGGCCCCACATGGAGGCTGTCCCTTGCTAAGACTAGTGGGCTAATAGCTTTGGTGCTGACCCCAGAGGTGAACCAGGAGCTGAGGAAGGCTAAGCCATGAGCTGGGGAACGTTCCAGGAGCACTCTGGGAGGTGGGGGGAATGGGCTGGGCACTGGCCTCAGTCCCAGGAGGTTGGGAAGGCTTGCATAAGGTCCAAGAGAGGCAAAGGAGGGTGGGCGTGGTGGCTCATGGCTATAATCCCAGCACTTTGGGAGGCCGAGGTAAGAGGGTTGCTTGAGCCCACGGGTTGGAGATTAGCCCTGGCAACTTGGTGAGACCTCATCTCTACAATAAATCAAAAAATTAGCTGGGCGTGGTGGCGCATGCCTGTAGTTCCAGCTACTTGGAAGACTGAGGTGGAAGCATTGCCCGAGCCCAGCAGGTCGAGGCTGCAGTGGCTGGGAGCGTGCTACTGCCCTTCAGCCTGGGTGACAGAGTGAGACTCCAACTCAAAAAACAAACAAAAAAAGAGAGGCAAAGGACCACACTTGGCATCTTGTTAGGAGTGTGGCTTCAGACCTGTCACTTTACTTCTCAGAGCCTATTTCCTCATTTATAAAATGGGTGAATAATCAGTATCTGTGTCTATAAAGGCGATAGAAGGCAAAGTTGAGGACTCAGGAAGTGCTGCCAGGGTGTGGGGTTTCTGGCAGTGGGAACTGTCCTCTCTGAGTGGCTTCCGACCCTGCTGTCCACCTCAGACACTGGGAGCTCACCAAAAGTTAGATTCCTGCCCAGACATGGTGGCTCATGCCTGTAGTCCCAAAACTTTGGGAGGCCAAGGCAGGGGGATTGCTTGAGCCCAAGGGTTTGTGACCAGCCTGGGCAACATAAAGAGACCCTGTCTCTACAAAAAATTTTTTAAAAATTGGCTGAATGTGGTGATACATGCCTGTAGTCCCAGCTACTTTGAGCCCAGGAGTTTGAGGCTGCAGTGATTGAGCCACTGTACTTCAGTCTAGGTGACAGAGCAAGACCCTATCTCTAGCAACAACAACAACAACAAAGGTTAGATCACCAGTCATCCTGCCGCGTGCTGGGGTGTGGGTGCCCAGACGGAGAGTGACTTGGCAGAGTGGGTCCCAGGGGGGTGTGTTCCAGGGAGAGCCGCAGGGCCGCCTCGCCGCCGCTGCCTGCCGGCAGCCAGTGGACCCGGGGCTGACGTGAGCCTGTGGAACATACTGCGCAACAACATTGGCAAGGACCTGTCCAAGGTGTCAATGCCCGTGCAGCTCAACGAGCCGCTCAACACCCTGCAGCGGCTCTGTGAAGAGCTGGAGTACAGCAGCCTCCTGGACCAGGCCAGCCGCATGGCCGACCCCTGCGAGCGCATGGTACTCACTCCCATCCCCGTGGCCTCTTCCTCCCCGGGGCCCCTGTCTCCCAGAAAATCCTGGCCAGGCTGTTCCTTGCTGCTGGAGTTCCACCCCAAGACCCCAGGCCCTGCGCACGGGAGGGTCACCCGTCCTCAGTCCCTGCCCCCTGCCACCCGCAGGTGTACATCGCCGCCTTTGCGGTCTCTGCCTACTCCTCTACTTACCACCGGGCAGGCTGCAAGCCCTTCAACCCTGTCCTGGGGGAGACCTACGAATGTGAGCGGCCTGACCGAGGCTTCCGCTTCATCAGTGAGCAGGTGTGAGTCCCCAGAGAAGAGGACTGGCCTCAAGTGGCAGGCGTGGGAGGGGAGCGTTGGCAGTTGACTCTGCAAGCTCTGGCCCGTGCTGTGATGTGGAACACTCAGCTCCAAGACTTTCCCGGTTCAGTGTCCCCCTTGAAATGGAGTTCCTGGCTCATGTCCTGAGGCCTAGCTGGGAGCCTGGAAGCCATGACTGGGAAGGTGTCCTCTGTGGGGGTGATCTTGGGCTGGGATGACTTGGAGGATGCATTGGAGGGAACCAGGAGTACAGGGGTGGGCTGTTCCTTCTAGACTGCATGGGGAGCAGTTGGGAAAGTTAGAGATTGGCTGGAAGACAAGGCGGGCCAGACCCTGAGGAGCCCTGGTTAGGGAAGGGGCTCTGGGGTTTTGCGTGTTTATTTTTAAGTCCTGAAGGCAGTGGGGGTCACAGAGGGCTGAAACAGTAGAGAGGAAGGATCAGCATCACAGGGTGCGAGACACACTCAAGCAGGGCTGGGATGGTAGCAGAGGCCACGAGGGGCCGTTCTGTCATTTCCATAAGAGCTGGTGAGGACCTGTGTTTAGGATGAGGCACGCAGAGTTCAAGGGTGACAGACTCGGTGGTCAGCAGGAGGTCCCCACGTGTAGGGGATGGGGAAGTGGTCTGCGAGAGGGAAAGGCTGGGGATTCTCCTCCATCTGGTCTGGGGATTCAGTGGGCACGTAGAGGTGCCAGTTAGTGAGATGGAAGAACCTGAATTAGGGAGCACATTGTCCATGTGGGCCTGGCTTCTGCAGGGAGATCTTGGGGGGTCTGGACTCAGTGGGCCCGGAGCTCCCAGAGAGCACCCAGTGGAGCTAACAGATGGGGAGTGGCCAGCTTAGAGAGAGGGGGAAGTCACGGAGGTTTGCCCTGAGAGGACTGTCCTGGGGAGGACTATCCCTGGGAGGACTACCCCTGGGAGGACTGCTCAGGTGTCTGGGGAGGAAGAGAGCCAGAAGGGGCACTGGTGGAAGGAGGGCCGGTCCCTGGAACCTAAGGAGTTTCCTTGGCTTCCTGAACAATGAAGGTTTCAGAGAAGGGGTTGGGCGGAGTTAAAAGAAAAATGCGGAGGGTGTTGGTTGGAGTTAAAAGAAAAGTGCAGACTATTTCCAATCACTTTTACCATGAGAGAAAGAGGAGAGGATGGCAGTTGTGGGGGGGGCGGGGATGAAGGTTGAGGCAGTTGGTTTGTTTGCTTGTTTAGACTTTAGGTGTTTTTGGAAACATGGTGAAAAACGTACATAGTACAACAGTGTGTACGGTAGAGACTAAGCCTCCCCCATCCCAGCCCTCTGAGGGAACTGCTGCCACCAGTTTTTGGGAATCCTCCCAGAAATGTTTCACGGATATGCGAGCAACGATGTATGTGTCTAGAAAGGGAAGGTTTGCTATTTTTTAAGGTGGAAGGGACAGATGATCTTGATATATTCAGAGAGAAGGCGAAATAAAGAGGGAAAGATTGAAGGTGAAGGAGTGGGGGATGGGAGGAGCCAGGGGCGGTGGAGGAAGGGTGGGTGCAGCCTGGAGGAGCACAGGAGGCTGCAGGGGCAGGGAGCGGGTGGAGCAGGGTGACTGAGGCCGAGGGGAGAGAGCTGCCCTTTCCCCGTTTTCCTCTGGCTGTTGGGGGGTGACTGAGGGTCTGAAGGGGCTACGTTGGGCCTAGGTCCTCAGAGGAAGATTGCTAAGGGGATGCCCAGGGGCCGGAAGTGGAACTTTGTAGAATTAGCCATTTCCCAGCATGGGCCATGTCTGTGTTTTGGTGGCAGGGTCAGAGCCAGGGGTGGACAGATGAGGCTGGTGCTGGCACTTCTGGTGAGTGGTGGGGCAGGTGGTTGGGAGTATTAGGTGAGAGTGGCGTGATGGGCAGGATACAGCTGAATGACCACAAGAAAGCGGCAGCCGGGGCCTAGGAATCTTGGCCAGAGCCATGGGAAACAGGGAACAGAGAGAGGCAAAGCAGGCTGTGGGATATAGCTGAAGGTTCCAGATGTAGAGCTGTTCCAAGTGAGGACAAGGCCAAGTGTTTCCAAGGGTGTGGTGTGGAGGTTGCCGGTGATGGTCAGCTTTAGGGCGGAGTGGGAGGAATGGTTTAGGGAAGAGGATCGTTGGGGAGGGCTGGGTTTCAGGCAGGGCATGGAGTGGAGGCACCACGTGTCACTGTTAGGGGGAACTTTTCAGGCTTGAGCAGGGCTTCTGGAGGACACCATAGACAGGTCGGCCAGGGTGGCTCCAGAGAGGTGTGTGAGCAGGAAGGCAGACCAGGCCAGATGTGGTGGCTCAGACCTGTAATCCCAGGGCCTTGGGCGGTTGAGGTGGGAGGCCAGGGGTTCATGACCAGCCTGGACAACAACACAAGACCCCATTTCTACAAAAAAAGGAGAGAGAGAAAGAAAGAAAGAAAAAAGAGAGACCACAGGGACTTCGTGGGAAGAAGAGAGGAGAGTGGATTTGGGTGATGGCCAAAGACGACAGGATGACCTGGAACTAACTGGTCTTCTCCCCTTCTGCAGGGAAACTGGGGGTGGGGGGAGGGGACTTTGAGGGGCTTGATGTCTGGAGCAGACCCAAGGTCCTTGGGGACAGCCTCAAGAGAACTCCTTTGCTCCCCAAGGTCTCCCACCATCCCCCCATCTCGGCTTGCCACGCAGAGTCTGAGAACTTCACCTTCTGGCAAGGTGAGTGGGGGTGGGGGCAGTGTGGGGAGTCAGTGGTAAAGGGCAGACGGAGAGGGGCTGGAACATCCTTGTCTCCCCTGTTTTCTCTCCCTCTTCCAACCCATCTGCAGACATGAAATGGAAGAACAAGTTCTGGGGCAAATCCCTGGAGATTGTGCCTGTGGGGACAGTCAACGTCAGCCTGCCCAGGTGGGTATTCTTAAACCTTCAGCCCACAGGCCATCCTCCTGGCTGGAGATGGGGAGGGCCTTAGGGACAGGTAGAAGGGTCTGGTGCTTGTATCTTTTACACCTATATTTACAGCAGTTGCCAATAAAGAATGATAGAAAAAGCCTTAGAACACAGAGCTGGAAGGGCCTGCTAAAGTCATCTGACTCAGTGGCTTTCATACTTTTTTGACCATGACTCACAATAAGAAACGCATTTGAGACTTCAAGCCAGTGCACGTGCACGCACACAAACATAGAAACCTAAATTGATTTCAGGAATCATGGGTCACAAACCACATTTGAAAAACCCTCCTCCAGTTCATTTTACAGGCGAGAGACTGGAGTCAGGAAGCAAGGGAGCTTACTGAGAGTGGTTTGGGAGTTGGCTAGAAGCCAGGAGAGGGGGTGGGAGAGATCCCAGATTTTGGAGTCAGAAATCCCAGGTGGGAGTCTTGGTTCTGTCACTTACCAGTGACGCAAGCAGTCGAAAGATTTGGTGCCTCCACTCCTTGAGCCTGTGCATCTGTAGAACGAGAATAATAGTGCCCGAGAGAGGTGGGAACAAAATAGGATGGTCCGTGTGCACGGACCTGCTGTGGTCCCTGGCACCCAAGGGCCTGGACCCCTTACGTGTTTTTAGCTCCATGACTGAGGCCCACAGGAGCTTCGTTAATGATTAGAGATGTGTTCATTGGATGCATTCTGTGAAGGCGGCTCTGCCTTGTAAATACAAGTCCTCCTTCCGCAGAGCCGGATCCAGGACCCCAGCTCCCTCCACAGACCCATGTGACCTGCCCCAGCGAGACAGGTGCCCCCAACTCACTTGTTCCCCAGGGCCAGCCAGCTGCCCTCCCAGCCCTGTCTCTCTCAGGTTCGGGGACCACTTCGAGTGGAACAAGGTGACATCGTGCATTCACAACATCCTGAGTGGCCAGCGCTGGATCGAGCACTATGGGGAGGTGCTCATCCGAAACACACAGGACAGCTCCTGCCACTGCAAGATCACCTTCTGCAAGGTGGGTGCCCTCCCGACCCTGCCTGGCCATCCCCAGCAGCCTCTGCAGGTTGCCCCAGGTAGGGAGTGCGGGGAAAGGGCACCTCCCTAAGCCCCGCCTTCACCCCCAGGCCAAGTACTGGAGCTCCAATGTCCATGAGGTGCAGGGAGCCGTGTTCAGCCGGAGCGGCCGTGTCCTCCACCGACTCTTCGGGAAGTGGCACGAGGGGCTATACCGGGGACCCCCACCTGGTGGCCAGTGCATCTGGAAACCCAGTAAGTGGTGTGTTCAGAGAGGGCAGGGCAGTGCTGAAGGTAGCCATGACATGGCCCACCTGCTCACGCCCCTGCCTTCCCCCAGACTCAATGCCCCAAGACCATGAGCGAAACTTCGGCTTCACTCAGTTTGCCTTGGAGCTGAATGAGCTAACGACAGAGCTGAAACGGTCACTGCCTTCCACTGACACGAGGCTCCGGCCAGACCAGAGGTCAGTACCAGAGGGGCACCACCCTGGAACCCCTGCTGGCTCCCTCCTCACAGGTTTCCGCAGAGCTGGGACTTTGTCCTGCCCTCACCGAATTGAGGGAAGCATGGTCTGTGTGGGAGACAGAGCTGGCAGGGACAGAGACCTTGGATCGGGACCCCTCGGGTGGGCATTCTCGCTAACTACGATGCGGATCTTCAGGTACCTGGAGGAGGGGAACATCCAGGCTGCTGAGGCCCAGAAGAGAAGGATCGAGCAGCTGCAGCGAGACAGGCGCAAGGTGATGGAAGAGAACAACATCGTCCACCAGGCTCGCTTCTTCAGGTGCCACAGGACACCCACACTCCCCACAGGACACCCCCAATGCCCGCAGGACACCCTCAATGCCCACAGGGCACTCCCAATGCCTGCAGGATACTCCCAATACCCAGGACACCTGCACTCCCCACAGGACACCCCCAATACATAAGATACTCCCAATACACAAGACACCCCACTGCCTACAGGACACCCCCAATACACAGGATACCCCACTGCCCACAAGACACCCCCAATGTCCACAGGATAATCCCAATACACAGGACATCTCCAGTGCCCACAAGACACCCCCAGTATACAGTCTCGCCCTCCACCCTGTGCTCCTGTGGGCCAGGCCCCTTCCCCACAAGCCCAGCCTAGAGTGGGGTAGGCACGGGAGGCAGAGCCCCGGGACCTCAGCTTTCCCTCCGGGGGTGGCCCCTCTCACTGCCGCCCACCTCCTCTCCAGGCGGCAGACGGACAGCAGCGGGAAGGAGTGGTGGGTGACCAACAACACCTACTGGAGGCTGCGGGCCGAGCCAGGCTACGGGAACCTGGACGGGGCGGTGCTCTGGTAGCCCCGGCCCCAGAGGCAGGAGGCTCTGGTTCCTCATTCCTCCTGCCTCCACCCCCTCCACGGACACATGGATGAGGCCAGGCTCCCCCTCACTGCCCTTGAGACCAAAGGGGCAGCTCTGGCCCTCTCTCCCCTCTGCTGGCCAGAGGGGCTGCCTCTCTGCCCATTTCCCTACCCCACGGTTTGGGGTGAGAAGCAGAACCTGTTTCCCCAATGTTATTGTCCCAGACAACCGGCATGTAAGACCCTTCTGGCTCTGTCATCCCCTTCCTGTCCCTCTTGGGGCGCTTGGGGGTGACTCCAGGCTCCCAGGATCTGTCCCCCATTTCAGTGCCTTCCTAGGATGCAGGGGGCTCCTTGATGCTCCCCAGGCTTTCTATGCCCAGGGCTCTGCCCTGGCTGTGAGGTTGGAGTGAGTGAGGGAGAGGAGATGGCCTTTTCTCCCCACCCCCTCCGCCCCTCCCCAGGCCCTGTTCCAGCCTCCCCCCCCCCCCCCCCCGGCCTTCCCTCCTGTTCTCCTGGACCCCTTCTCCCAGACTGCAAAGCGCCTGCAGCTTCCAGCTCCTTCGTTCCTGGCCCTCAAGTGATTCCCTCCTGACTCAGCTCCCCGGAGTGGAGGAGCTGCCTGAGGCGCCTGGCCTCCACCCCTGGCAGAGAGTGCACAGGTGTGAGTGTGAGTTTGCATAGGAGACTGTGCGTGTGCGTGTGTGTGTGTGCCAGGTCCTGCTTGCAGGCAAGCAGGGCTCCCTCGTGTAGCCTGGACGTCCCCCGCTGGGTGTCCACCACCGTTGCTGCTCTCTTTCTCACAGTCTGCCTCTGACCGAGGTGACTCGCTATGACATTCCAAGCTCCAATAAAGACCGTCCCAGACTTTGGCCTGTGACCATTCATTGACAAACACGTGTACTCATTGGAAGGCTCGCAGCCACTGTCATGGGATGAATGAGTCGTGGCCCCAGAGAGGTACGTTCCCAGACCCCAGGACATGTGCATGTGGCCTTATTTGCAAGTCAGGTCTTTGCAGATAGAATCAGGTTAAAATGGGGTCATACTGGGTTACGGTGCTCTACTCCGGTGACGGCTGTCCTTATAAGTAGAGGGAAACTTGGGCACACAGACACAAGGGAGGTAACTGTGTGAAATGCAAGGACACACGGGAGTAGGCATGTGGAGACGTAGGCAGACCTGGAGCGATGCCTCTGCCAGCCAGGAATGCCAGGGAGTGCTGGCAACCACCAGAAACTGCAGAGAGACCTAGAGGGAGGCTGGGGAGAGAGCCTCCCTCCGAACCTCCAGGGAGGAGCCATGTCTGCTAACACCTTGATTTCAGAATTTTGGCCTCAACTGCGAGAGAATATCTTGTTTGAAGCCATCCCTATGGGGTAGCTCTAGGACATGAATACAGCCCCACTCACCTGAGCTAAAAGCCTAGACGTCATCTCCCCCTGGTCCTCACACCCATCACTTCTGCCCCAGCTGTCTCTCTACTCCGGCCCTTTCTCTCCATTGCACCTATCTAGGCTGGGCCTGCATCAACTCTTGCCTGGACTATTGCAGTAGCCCCCAGGGTGGTATTTCTGGCCTTCTTAACATATACCCACTGCTTCCCAGTGCCTAGAGGAAAAATCCAAACCTCCAGTTGGGAGAAAACTTCATGGTCCCTGTCCGCTGTCCGGCACAGAGCACTGACCCCACGGACTCAGCACCCTGTCAGGTCTGTGTCATTCCCTCACCCCGCCAAGATCAGTGAGTGCTCCAGGAAGGGTGGGAGGGAGTGGAAGGAGAACAGACAACTGTAGGTCCTCCCCACAACCCCCACACCCAGTGCTGAGTCCAACCCAGCTCTGTTAGTACAAAGCTGCATGGCCTTGGTTAAGTGTCTTGCCTTTCTGCTCAGGGGACTTCCATCCCTCACTGGCTTCTTTTGCATTTTTTTTTTTTTTTGAGTGGGAGTCTCTGTTGCTCAGGCTGGAGTGCAGTGGCACACTAACAGCCACCGCAGCCTCGACCTGCTGGGCTCAGGCGATCTTTCTGTCTCAGCCTTCTAAGTAGCCAGAATCACAGGTGCCTGCTACTATGCCTGGCTTTTTTTTTTTTTTTTTTTAATTGTAGAAACGAGGTCCCACCAAGTTGTCTTGAGAATTGTCTGAGCTCAGGCAATTCTCGCCTCAGCCTCCCAAAATGCTGGGATTACAAGCTTGAGCCACCTCACCTGGCCTTCTTTTGCATCTTAAAGGAGCATCTCTGGAGTGCCCCCCCCCAGCTTATTAACTCTCTCCTAACTTCACAGCCCTACCCACCCCTGCCCCCCCACAACAACAGCCCACCTCAGTCCTGCTCTGGTCTGATTAGTGTCCCAAGAGGAAGTCATGCTCTCTTGGGAGACTCTGTCATCCTTTACTTCTCCCCTCCTCACCCCAGTGGAGGATATTCATGGTAATTCATGTTTCCACAATTTGTTGATGAAGATTGTCAAACATGAACACACTCGTGCTGACACCACATGCCAGAAATAACCTCAGCCCATTCTAAAAACAGCGAAGGCCTGCACACAGTCAGGATCTTTTTGAACAATGTGCACTGCCCTCTTCCCGACCCTTTCTCCTCAGAGCAACTCAGCACGTGACAGACCAGTCTGTGTCCAACTTCCACGTTTTTTTTTCAGTTGGAGTCTCACTCTGTCACCTAGGTGGGAGTACAGTGGTATGGTCACGGCCACCACAGCCTTGACCTTCTGGACTCAGGCGATCCTTCTGCTTCAACCTTCCAAGTAGCTAGAACTACAGACACATGCCACCACACCTGGCTAATTTTTTTTTTTAAATTATTGTAGAGATGAGGTCTCGCCAAGTTGCCCAGGCTGGTCTTGAACTTTGGGCTCAGGCAATCCTCTCATCTCGGCCTCCCAAAGTGCTGGGATTATAGGTATGAGCCACTGCGTCCGGCCAACATCCACATATTTTAAGAAGTGGAGTTTAAGGCCAGGCGCGGTGGCTCATGCCTGTAATCCCAGCACTTTGGTAGGAGGAGGTGAGAGGATTGCCTGAGTCCAGGAGGTCGAGATCAGCCCGCACAACTTGGTGAGACCTCGTGTCTACAATAAATTTTTAAAAATTAGCCAGGCTTGGTGGTGCACGCCTGTAGTTCCAGCCACTTGGAAGACTGAGGCGGAAGGCAGCCATGGGTTCAGGGAGCTGTATCACCTCCTGGCCACCGGGAAGACCAGGCTAGGGGTGCCCTCGGCAGTGGCCTGGGAAGGAAGGGTGGCAGCTTCTTCCAAATGTCCCATGGGAGCACTGATCACCATTGGGCTTTGGGGCAGGTCAACACAGACCCAGACCTCCTGGCCTTGGTTGGAGGATACGGCAGGGGCAGGCCTGGGGCAAAGGGGAGGAGTCTGGGGCTTAATGGGCCCAAATCTTGACTCAGCTTGGAGCAGACCAGTGTCCAAAGCCAGGGACCCACCCCTCTATGAACAAAGTAGGACAGTGTTGGACACTAGGGAAATGCTTGGACCGAACAATGGTAGCAGAGAGAGAGAGAAGGGTAGACAACAGGCGCCACAGTCCTCACGTCAGCTGCTTGGACTCTCCAACCCCATACTGCTCTCCCTAGAGACATGCATTTATTTATTTATTCATTGATTTAATTGGGTTGGGGTCTCACTCTGTCACCTAGGCTGGAGTGCAGTGGCACAATCACAGCTCACTGTAGCCTTGATCTCCTGGGCTCAGGGGATCCTCCCACCTCAGCCTCCCGAGTAGCTGGGACTACAGGCGTGCACCTCCATTCCTGGCTGATTTAAAAAAATTTAAAAATAGAGATAAGGGCTCACTATATTGTCCAGGCTGGTCTGGAACTCCCGGACTCAAGCAATCCTTCTGCCTTGGCTTCCCAAAGTGCTGGGATTACAGGTGTGAGCCACTGTGCCTGGCCTTTAAAAAAAAAATTTAGCTATTTAACCTGGGCTGAATGGGGCAAAAAAGTAAAAAATACATTTGCTGCATTTTCTGCATAAAAGGTGTGCACATGTGTGTGTAATACACAACAAGGGAGGGGAAAGAGCACTATACTGGTTGAGGGGCTAGGGCCTTCACCGTGAGGTCAGGGTGAGGATCCCACTTACCCTGATGCTAGAGTGGGTGTTTGAGGAGGGATGAGGCAACCAGGCCAGCACTGTACCTCCCTGCTTCCCCACATGGCACATAGCCAAGGAGGATGTGTGTAGGGGGTTCCCACCCTTTCTGTTTTGGGGAGAAGGAAGGTGTATGGACAGTGATAGAAAACCCGCGGCCCCCGATTAATCTTTACATCTGACCTCAATTCCACCAGCACGGGTCTGCCCCTGGAAGGGTACATGGCTCTCCTTTCTAGGCTGTCCTAGTCTAGTCCCTTGCACGGGCACCTTCAAGATCTTTCATTTTGGCTGGGTGCGGTAGCTCACAGCTGTAATCCCAGCGCTTCGGGAGGCCAAGGTTGGAGGCTCGCTTGAACCCAGGAGTTTGGGACCAGCCTAGACAACAGAGGGAGTCCTCATCTCTACAAAAAAAATATTTTAGCCAGGCATGGTGGCGCATGTCTGTAATCCCAGGTGTTTGGGAGGCTGAGGCCAAAGGATCGCCTAAGCCTAAGAGGTCAAGGCTGCAGTGAGCTGCAATTGTGTCACTGCACTCCAGCCTGAGTGACAGAGACCCCAATTAAAAAATATAATTAGTTTAATGATGCCTCCTTCCTGGAAAGCGATTTTATAAGCGATTTCCCTTTTTGAGACCCTCTAGCCCTAGTCCAGGCAGAAAATGAGTTGAGGCTTAGTGTTCTCTTCAGCGTAGACTTCAGAGAGACTCTCACAGGCTAGCCTGGTTTGAGTCTTGCTCACCCAGTGTCCTATTCCTGGTACAGATGCTTAGCCAGGTCACCTGGCCATACGTGCAGGTTCTCCCCTGATTCCTGTCACATCCTCCCTCATCTTCTCCTCATCTGTACCCTGAGAACCAGAACCATCAGAGGGGAGTACCAAGAGCTCTTGAGACCCCCAGCAGGCTGGAGTCAGCTCTGAGTAGGGGTCAGGGCAAGGTGGTCACCGGGATTGGGAGAGCTTGGCTCTAGGGGTGGAGGCCCTAGGAGGTTACCCATGTCTCTCTCTTTTTTTTTTGAGTTGGAGTCTCACTCTGTCACCCAGACTGGAATGCAGTGGCATGCTCCCGGCCACCGCAGCCTCCACCTGCTGGGCTCCGGCGATTCTTCCACCTCAGTCTTCCAAGTAGCTGGAACTACAGGCGTGTGCTACCACGCCCTGCTCATTTTTTTGATTTATTGTAGAGATGAGGTCTCGCGAAGTTGCCCAGGCAGGTCTCGAACCTGCAAGCTCAGGTAATTCACTCACCTCGGCCTCCCAAAGCCCGGGATTATAGGCTGAGCCACCGAGCCCAGCCTACCCACGTCTCTTTAACACATCATCACATGGTGCAAGTCCTCAGGTGGCTGAAAGATGCCCAGACCCTAAAGTAGGTGGAGGAACGATTTTACTTGGGCAGGTCCCAACTGTCGGCACCATGCCCAGGATGCCAGGGCCCTGGAACTGCTGGGCCTTGTTGATTTCTGAGAGGCCCCTTAAAATGAAGCATCTGTCTCGAGGAGGGTAGATGGGTGGGCTGAGCTATGGGAAGGGCATGGGTAGAAGAAGAGATTGGAAGGGTCAGGGGCAAACCAGGAAGGAGAGAGAAAAGTAGTGAGTTCTCTACAATCTGTGTGTCCAGGACCCAGGTGGTGAGATTCTCCAGGCATCCTCAAGAGGGTGCCCGGGGCTCTTGAAAGGACCAAGTCAGTCTCATCTCAGTCCCACCTGACAGGTGGCTGCATGCACCAGCTACTCAGA